GGCAAGCCCCTCTTTTGGGAAAAAATAGGCTGACATACCTGGCGCTGCAGTCTGCTTCAGGCACGTTTCCTGCTTGTTTTAGATCACGAACACAGCTGATTTGTATAATTTAGTGATGAATGACTCCTGTAGTGAAGCCTGGGAGATGCTTCAGCTGTTAGATTAAGGTGTAAAAAGACAAACACACAGCGACGAGATAGGTTTCATTTTTAGTTTAACCACAGAAAATTGAAAACGGACACTAGGGGGTGCTAAAAGCAAACAAAACTGCCAAGTGTGCCTTTAACCTCAGTCGACTTACTTTCTCATAACGAATCGACATCCCCTTCACCCTTCAAATTTACGGTTGAATCTCCAAAACGACTCCAGATTTTGATTTCCCAAGAATTAATTTGTCCACTGGGTCCCATTTTCATGCGTTTTTCCCCTGACTGCCTCTGTTTGTAGCCTGAAATCGACTTCACATTCCAGGAAGATGGAGCAACATCTCACTCCAGCAACAGAACACAACAACACCCGGAGGATGTGAGAAAGTGCACGAAGGTCGAGCAGAACCTTTCCTCGAGGAAACTGAAGTTAGGAACCGAGAAGAGCTGGCAGACTCACTGGGATATGGAGGTCAACTGGGTCATGGGTGCGTGAAGCCCCGTTAACCGCTTATCCAGCAGAAATCATACAGAACAAAATCAGGAACTTCGGCTTTGAAGATTTGAAAATCTAACCTATGAATGCTGAAGGAAATAAAGATTCGCCATAACCAGAGTTTTTCAACTCCCTTGTTTATTTTACTGCATCACAGTTTTAATGAGAGTTTGTATCATTCAGGCTTGTTTGCATCACTTCTACATGAATTAGATTTTGTTCCATAATGACATTTTGTCCTTGGAGCATTCCTTCCAATAAGCAACAAGACATAAATAATGTTGAACATGCCAGAGTCATATATTGTCCTGAAGAATCCTTCACCCTTCTCTGGAATCCCTTTCTTGTCTCATTTAGACCTCAAACCCTGAAAGACGTTTTCTTTTGCAGCGGAAGGCCTTTCATCCGTCACACTGCAAAGCTCGCCCCCATAAAAGCTCCGGGCCGTGGGTTTCTGTTCAGACGACGCTCGTGACTCTTGTGCATTTGGAGAAGTGTGATGTGGCCTCACCCTCTCTAAATTCCTTCACCCGTACACCTAGAAATCACATCGCTATGGCAACTTCTGTTCATTACGGAGAACAGGCTTTTGTTCGGTCTCGTTTTAATGCGTGCATAGAAAGGTTCTCCTTCCCGTCTGCTAGCCTCTGCTCCGTCTGCTTTGTGTTGCTGTCATTTTAAAGTTTTAACTCTGTTTTAATTGCTTTGCACGTTTCACCCACGTTTTCCTGTTTCACCAGGTGTGACAGCATCCCAGAACCCCTTCCCCCCATGCATGTCTGGTGTCCCTTAGAGACCTTGCTAACAACGGCAGGTGTTGTTTTAACCTTCTCACATTTGGGGAAACATGACACGAAGAGATCCTGGAAAAGGGAAGGTGTAGCAGCACGTTATAGAGGAGAAATTAACTTTGCGTTTTCTAATTGCATCGACTAACACGCCTTACACGGAAGCACCTGTAATTCTTCTGAATGGTGCCCGTGTCTCGGTCTCAAGAATGCTGCTGCCAGGTTCCTGGCTAGCACCAATCGTCGTAGCCACATTCCTCCGGTGCTGGTGCAGCTTGACTGCCCTCCGGTGACCTTTAGGGAGCATTTCAAGGTCATGATTCAAGGCGCTCGATGGCCTGGCACCTCCCTACTTGTGTGAGTCGCTCGCCCCTCACGTCCCCATGCGTACGCCGATCTCCACTTCACAGATGAGATGTAAATCGTGACGGGAACTCACTTCCTCTTTTGTTCAGATGGGCTCCGTCTCGCTCTTGTTTTAAATCTCGTCTAAAGACCCACCTTTAAGCCGTGACCTTTGGTCGATGACTTACGTTTTGTGATTTTATGCATTAGCTGTTCTCCTTTGTTCTGATTTGACTTGTACTTAGTTGTATGTATGTTAGTGTTGTATAAGCTCTATATAATGTGCTATCTGCTTCAAAAACCAGCAGAAAACTCACCTGTTCAAGCTGGCTTCTGCGTGACCTTCCTCACCTTATTGTGTTCCTATTCCACCTTTCCCAGGAACCACTGATTTCCCTCTTTCCTATTCGTTTTCTTGCTCCATTTCCTAACATTTTTTTATTCACAATTTGTATATTTTTCTCATTTAAAACATATTTTAAATCTTTTTTTTATCTTTTTTATACTTTTTTTTGTTTGTTTTTATGAAGCGCCTTGTGTTTTATCTTGAGAGGCGATCTATAAAAGAACGCTTTCTTTTTTTTTTTCTTTAAGTAAAATGGTACGGTATGGGGATAATGCACATAAGTGTTGTTGTTTCCAGAACCTGGCACCTTTGGAAATTTCTTTGTTTGCTTAGTGGATTGAACGCGAACAGCTTTCACATTTCTACTGAACCCTTTTGTCAGTCTCTGTTTGACAAGTCAAAAGTTATCAGAACAAACATGGCGTAAGTCTGTCCATCCCATTGACATATATAGTGGGCAGTTCATGTCCATAGGCTCCAGTTATAAGTTTTTGAGCCAAAATGGGAGGTGACCACCACCGCCATTTTGACCGTGTCACAGGTTCCGTCAAGCCCAGACAATTCCACAAAAGGGAAAAGAGGTGGAGCTGAGGGTGGGGCTGTAAGCCTGGGATCAAATGACGACACCCGTCGAACTGAAGCGATGTAGCCACAATTGTTTGGTTCTTTTTTAAACGCAGGAAAGGTTTTTCTTCACCTTGCTGACGTTTCGTTTGCGGCTGCGAACTTCCTCAGAGCTGACGCTGATGGTGGCGTCACTTCCTACTCCGTTTATCTGCGGGCAGCAGAGGACGTTGTCGCCCTCTGCTGCCCGCCCTCCCCTCTCCGATGATGCAGTCCCATGCGCGATCCAATAAGTAAACCCCATCGTCTCTGTTCATGGTCCCACATCCACGTCTCCTTATCTCTATAGCTTCTTTAATCCATCTTTTGTATTTCTGTTGTTCGGTGTTTATGATCCTTGTGTTGTCCCAGTCCATTACATGGTTTTTCTCTTGTGCAGTGATCTGTTACGGCTGACTTCTTTATTGTACTTTCTGCTTCTTGTTTTGCTGCTCTTGTGTGTCTTCGACTTGTTTCTTTCTCGCACTCCTTTCTATGTTCTATTGTTCGTGTGTTGAGTTGGCGTCCGGTTTCTCCTATGTATGTTTTATTGCAGAGTTTGCATGGGATTTCGTAAACGACTCCACATTTAAGTCCAGCTGGTATCTTGTCTTTTGGGTGTACTAGTCTGTTTCTAACTGTTGTGTATGGTTGTGTTGGTGTGTTTATGTTGTGCTTTTTCATTGTTGCTATTACTTTTCCTGTCTTTGATGTATGGTAGGGTTATCACTGGTTTTGGTTCTTGTCTTTCTGGGTTTCTGGTTCTTTGCGTTGGTTTTTCTTTTCTTTCTGTTGTTTGTTGTTTTCCTTCGTTTATTGCCCATGTCGGGTATCTGCAGGTCTTTAAAGCGTGTTGTATGTGTTTGTCCTCTTGTTTACGGTCTCTTTCTTCTGTTATTATGTTTATTCGGTGATATAATGTTCTGATTACTGACATTTTGTGTATGGTGGGGTGTTCTGATGTCCATAATAGATATTGGTCTGTGTGTTTTGGTTTCTTATATGTATTTATGTTTAGGGTCCCGTCAGTCTGTCTGGTTATTTTCATGTCCATAAATGCTATCCTGCCGTCTGTTTCTAACTCATATGTGAACTTTATGTTACCTGTGTCGTCAATGTTATTCAAGTGTTGTGTTAGTGTTTCTGTTTGTCCTTTTGGTATGATTTCCAGTATGTCATCTACGTAGCATTTCCATAATTTTATTTTGCAGTTTGGGGGGCAGTGGCTATGGCTTTTTGTTCTAGGTCTTCCATGAAAAACTCGTGACACCACCATCAGCGTCAGCTCTGAGGAACTTAAAAAGAAACATTTTCTGTGTTTTAAAAAAAGAACCAAAAAGTGGAATTAGAAATCAGACACAGCAAGAACATACCCAAGATGATGTAGCTACAAGCTAACCCAAAGCTAACGCGGAGGTGGGAGCTAAGCTAACGGAGGTAGCTACGTAGCTACAACCGGAGTTAACTGTGCACAACACCGGAGCTTCTGATTCAGAGATGCGCCGGGCTGACCGCTGGGTAAAACCGGGTGGAACACAGAGGTCTCCCGAGAGCTCCACAAGCCGGCAGCCGTGCAGCAGACAGGCGCCACTGCGGTCAGAGATGCGCCCAGCTACCGCTGAGCAGAGGAGACCATACCGATAGTGGGAACCCAGCTCCACAAACATGTTATATTTCAACCCATTTTCTAAAATGCAGCTTTATGTTAAATGCACTGGGTTTGACCCTATTACATTTAAATTTCATGGTTAAACAGTACATGTTAAAATCTAAGCTTAGCTCGGCAGTGACCTAAAATACATAAATATAATTTTACTTACCGACAAAAATGAAGTGGAGACTCCTTGGACGCTCTATTAGTGCAATTAATACCACAGCGTCATTTTGTCCAACAATTGCACAAATTCAATTCAATTCAATTTTATTTATATAGCGCCAAATCACGACAAGAGTCGTCTCAATGCACTTCACATAATAAACATTCCAATTCAGGTCAGTTCATTAAGCCAATCAGAAAAAAAGTTTCCTACATAAGGAACCCAGCAAACTGCATCAAGTCACTGACTAGTGTCAGTGATTTTACAGCCAGGGCCGGCTCTAGGTAATTTGGTGGCCAAGGCGAGACTGCCCATTTGCGCCCCCCCCCCCCCCCCCCCCCACACACACACACACACACACACACACCCGCCCGCACGCCTCTCACCCAAACCCAAGTCCACCCACCCACCACACATTGGAAAAGGCAACTCCACAGTTATTCCTTAGTTAGTAATTCTTTATTTTAAATACTCACACAGCAACTCTTTAAAGTCAACAGCCTGAAGAATAAATGTAAACTTGAAAGATAAGTAACCTGAGAATATTACAATAACCAACAACTCAAAATGTTGTGCAAATGTCATTGGGGGGGGGGATGCAAAATCAAAAGCAGCATTAAACTGTGCAATCAAAAGCAAAACTCAAATATCAAAGTGTCATCATAAACAAAGTTCTACTTTCCATTTTGTTCTACTGCTGTGGCCAGTCAGCAGGATCCATGGGGCCAGCAGCTCATACATGTTCACACACATCTGTTGAAGCTGATGATGGTGTCTCGTCGGGCTGTTGGATTGGAGCACTGAGGCTGCTGGTGTTGTGTTGGGATCTTCTTCTGTGAGAAAATAAAACACACACACACACACACACACACACACACATACACACACACACACACACAAAGCAACTTAACCCTCTGATGCATGAATTACTTAAGAACAGCGCCACTTTCACATTCAGTATTCCTCAGTCATGTGCAGTGATGCTTTTCATTATTTTTCTTGTTACTGGACTTTTTATTTTATTGATCTTTTTTTAATCTATTCTATGAAAACATGAATAAAATTATCAAAAACAGGTGGAAGTGAGCGCATCCATGGGGAATATTTGAAAAAACGTATGTCTCACTCTCAGGTGCTCTTCAGCATCAAATAAATTGTAGAATATGAGGAAGAAGAACCGGTGATCTGAGGCACTCTGAGGATTTCATTTATTAAACAAGGAAACACCGACACGGGACCGGCGGCAGCGGGGGAGTCCCCGCCACGGCCGCGGCGGTGCCGCCCGCCCGATGTGTCGGACAAAGTTGAAAATTTGCTACACCCACACCTAACGTTCTTCTGATATGAAAATATTAAATTCGTATTGTATGCGTACTTAACAACTTGAATGGAAGTTCATAAAAAGGCTGCAATCACACTCCAATAAACAGTAAAAAAAAATCTTACATTCTTCATCATCACAGTGAGACTCAACAGGTGTAGAAGACAGTCCCGCCCCCCGTGGTGTCAACATGTGCCTGTGTGGCTGCAGATATTGTTTCACTGCATCTGGACACGACGATTCAAAAGTAAAATTAATTGGTTAAAGTTGTGAGATACTGTATTGTGAATGTAAACAGCTAGCGAGGGTCCGTCCGTGGACCATGTGTGGCAGGAGAGGCAGTTAGCTACAATGGTAACACAAAAAGTTCCTTTGCCAAATTTATAAAGTCTACATACCTCTGCTTTGGGCCCGTTTTTTTTCTTCCTCCTTCCTTCGCTTTCGGGAATGCTGATCCCGATGGCTTAGGTGTTCTTTTCATCGTAAAATACCAAAAGTTTAAACGCGACGACAACAGGATGTCCTACAGTGCTACCCACGCACGTGATCTACGGCACCCTTAACGGTCAAATGCGTCGGAGCGGTGGCTCAAGCGGGAGCTCGTCATGCAGCCAGATCATTAGAATTTAAATATTGATGTTTTAATTTCATGTCATTTCAGAGGGGAATTTTGAGTATGTAGAGAGTGCATTTCATATAACAAACAAAAATGTAATAAACATTTTTTTTTATTTTGCGCCCTATCCATCAGACAGGTGGGATTTTCATTACTACTACAGATGTTTTATGAAATATTTTAGCTTTCGAAACAGCAGCTTCCTGCCAGAACACTCAAGCAGCGAGGTCTTTAAAGTATGGAGCTCAATTTTGCAGAACTAAAAATATTCTGTGGGATTTCTGCTTTTTTTGCATTGTTTTGGTTTATTTCTTGCTCATTTTTGTAGCGGAATGGAATGACTGTTTTCCACCTAAAGGTCATTTTCCCTCTCTCCTCATGAAGAACTAATCTCCTTGAGATATTGCTCAAGGCCTTTGATGCCTCTGCATATAAACTGTTTTAACTAGCTATTCGCCTCCCCCTACAGCACAAGAAAGAAGAAAGAAGGCCAAGAACTCTTTTTCTTTAAATGATAATCAAATAACTTTGTTAGTCCAAATAATCATGTGAAGCTCAATGTTCAATCTGTGAAAAAAGAAGATTAATTACTTGATATTATAATCCTATGACTAGCGATGTGTACCGAATTCGGTACTTTTTAAGGTACCGACCGAATTCCATAGTACCGACTGAGCACCGATTCACGTCATTTGAAACGGTGCCTCGTTTCGGTACCCGTCCTTCATAATGAGAACTTTCCTAGACAGCTGTGCATGCGCAAGAGTGTTTCGTTGGTCGCTGCGAGCCAGTTGTAAACAGAGCAGCATGGTAGAAAGAACGCACGCTAAAGCTTGGGTCCACTTCACTAAATGTGATGGGTAACTGGGTGATGATGAAACCAGCGACAACGATCTAAGTGAGACATCCTCATCTTAATCTGCTCCGGTAGGTAAATAAAATGTTAAGATAACGTTAGCTTGATATGTTAGCTTCCGTTTTGCTAATGGTGCGTTCGCTTTCTCCTCGGAACTCTGAATTTCCGACTAGAAGAACATGAACGCGCTCTAAAGTTTGGCTTCACTTTACTAAATGCGACGGGTGATTGGGTGAAGATGAAACCAGCGACAACGATCTAAGTGTGAGGCATCATCGTTTTAATCTGCTTCAGCAGCTAAATAAACTGTTTAAGAGAACGTTAGCTTGATATGTTAGCTTCCATTGTTATCAGCTAATGGTGCGTTCGCTTTCTCTCCAGAAATTCTAACTTCCCAGTAGGAAAAATCAAATGAAAAAGAACGGCAAAAGGAATGAAGATACACAGTAAATTTAGTTCACAGTAAAGATGTTTGCTTCAGTTTAATTATAAGCTTATAAAACTACAAGGATGATGTTAAAATACAAACAGTTGTATGTTATTTATCGTGATATTTATCAAATATGGTTATATATTGAGAAAAATATATATTTAATTATAAAAGAGAATTAAAATATTAAACTCAAAAGTATCTAAAATTGGTACCGTTAAGTACCGGTATCGATTCCTAGGTACCGGGAATCAGTACCGAATCGATTCATATGTCAAAGGTACCCATCCCTATCTATGACAGTATATAATAAGTAACATAACTTTAAACTAGACACTAGACTGATCACACATAATGTTAAGTGACATGACACATTTCCTGTTTCTCATCCAATCAGAGCTTTCATTCTGACACGTGGCGTGGCTTTGCGTGGTGTTTATACCATCCCCTTTTGTTGTCAAATCCTGATTCGACTATAAACCAAAACATCTGGATTATAAAACTAACTCCCACGTCACCCTTAAATCAGTTCAAACGTTCTAGAGTTTCGAGCCGGCCAATCGTAACTTTTTAACCACAAAGAACCGTGACAAGCTGGATGATAAAACCTGTTGCAAGCTGCGCCTGAACGCAACGCTCCTTCAGAGTAAAAGCTGAACTCACTGACCCTTCAGGGTCCCGCCGACGCAGTCAAACACCTGTCGCTTACCTGGAGGCATTCCAAGACTAGTCTGTGGTACCGTACGCCGTTTCATCGGCTCCGGTACCAAAGGGGGGTCCGAGGACCTTGCATTCTGGATCTACAACGGAGGTCTCCGCAAGGGTATGAAGAGCGGCAAGATAGCGTCTGAATGTGGTTTTGAAACTCTGACTGTAGTTTAGAGCAAAAACATTAGCTCCCACACAGAACTAACGGTTCTCCGAAAACGAGAGTTCTGATAACAACATTCCACATTTACACCATCCATCTTCCCTCATTCATACCTAGATCCATTCATCACACAGAGTGTTAGAGTTAGTTAGCCTTGTTTGAAATTGTTTAGAAATAAATCTTTTTAAACTTTAAAGGGACTTTACTGACTTTTGAATTTTTATGCTCGCGATTGGCCCCTCAGGCCAAAAGCATAATGGCAGCTTCAATAGTAGCCTCGTGCACGAGGCGCGCATGCTGTACGTGCACACTCCTTAATGAAAATAGCAGCTGAGACAGTCCCTTGTGTGTGTGTGTGTGTGTGTGGGGGGGGGGGGGGGGGGGGGGGGACAGGAGAACGCGCAGCTAATTAATTAAATAATTTGGTTCTGTACCTTTCTCTTCAGCACAGCCGACAAAGGTTTATGATGGGTCAGTCCTCCTGCATGCTCAGATCATTCCCTTCCCTTGCTTGAAAAATTGTTCCAAAATGAAAGTTGAACCCACATCTTTTTTATCTGTGAATTCAATGCTGTTCGGCGAGTCTCAAATAAAAATTTGGGCATCTTACTGTAAAAATATACCATTAATGTAAAAAAGAAACTCTAAATAAATGTTCACTTCTGGAATCGAAACCCGGATCTTCAGCAAGAGAGACCAACGTCTTACTAGGTGAGCTAAAGCACCAGTGACAATCTTTGTATCTGTAACATTTATATCCTTGATGACAGCTGAAACAACGTCAAACCAAAGAACGTTTCGGAGTGAAAATGGCTATTTTGTTGCTAATTAGCAGGAAATATCTAGAAGAAAGTTCTACAGAAAGTAGCTAAGGGTCCTCAGAAATGTAGCTAGCTTTGTCACTAGGCGTTAGGAACAGCGACAAAGTGGCACTGCCTCTCTCTCTGCTGCTAAAGCTACGGATAGCAAATGCTACGGGCGATGCCTGAGCGTGAACGCGCATGAAGCAGCCTGCTCGACCCGAGCATCTCTCTTTTTCTGTGATTTTACAGAAAAACAGGCAATCACAGTAAAAATGCCAGGGCTCATTCTACAGGACCAGGGCATTGCAGGAGAATGTATGAAGAAGACATTTATTATTTCTATACATGTTCTGGCTGTCAAACTTCCATAATGCCCCTTTATGGAATCTCACTTTTTTACGTAAGCTGTAACTATCGAATTGTTACATTTTCCACCTTTTTAAAAACTTTAATGCGTGTTTTAAATCTACAGTAAATGAAATTTGCTTTCTTGGGTGATTGGTTAGTATGAGAGGTGGAGATAGAGATAGGATCTCGTGTATTAAAGAAGACAAATGCAATTGGTTTTAGTTTTCTCTCATCAACCCAATTACAGCTTTATTCCATTTGCTCTGATTGCATCATTTCAGACTTTGTCATTTTCATGATTTAAAACTTCTCTGCAAAACATTCTAACTCGTAAATCAAATTCCAGATGTGACCGAGCGAGTTACTGGGAGCAGAAAGGAAAGGTCATGTTCCTGAAGATGGAAGTTTGCTATAAAGTGAACAAATAACAACCTGCACTTGACTTAAGCCTAATTAATTTAAATGCCTGGGGTTGTCATGGCATTCATCTGGGCCCGCTGCACCAGGGAGCATCCTGGTAATTAAATTCTTAAGAGTGGAGCCACGGGAAGCTAGACGAACCACAGAGTCTGAGAGGAACAGGCTAAA